CAAACATACAAAAACACGTGAAATTGTGAGAAATTGCAATTCTTACCTGTGTTTTAATACATGTATTATTACTATATAGTAACCTAACTGTGTACGCTCTCTTAAAATTCATGAAAAGTGTTTTGGATCCTAACTTGTAGGGTTGAGTCTAGGGTTGAGATAGTGTCATCAGACATGAGAATATGGCCCACAGTGTGCCTCAGATTGCAGGAAAATGGCTTAAATATTTCAAAATTTTCTGGGGGGCATGCTCCCAGACCCCCCTAGCACTGGCATGCCTACGGCACGCAGGCCTGCCTGCGGCAGCCAAGGTTAATTTCGCCCCCGGCTATCGCCGATCATCCCCCCCACTCCTCGGTACGGATTTACGCCCCTGACATAGAGTCAGACTCGTACCTGCTTGACATGCAGTTCGGTACAAGGATAGAGAGCATGGCGACACACTGTTTACTCGACTACACAAGAAATTGTGTTTACACACGTCTTCACTCAGGGTCATACAATTCTATGCACACCTACGAATACTTCTATTACTACAAGTATATGTTACAATAATTAATAGTAGGCCCTACTATTACTACTACTATAGGCCTACTACTAAGTACTAGCACTTGTAATACCGTCGAATGACACATAAGTAAATAGATAGGAATAACCTATTGTTCTGGTTTGGCATACATGCATGGCCAGCTGTCTAAAGTTGTAACGCGGGAATAGACAGGACACGGGACAGGGTAGAATGAGCCAATTATTGACAAGCATGTAGTACGCGGACGGACTAGAAACAATAGGTGGGCGTGTCTAGCTATATGTCAGTATATAACCGCGTGTTCGACCAGAGAGAGAGAACAGAGCGATAGTGTTATACCAACTACAGATAAACGATATTGTTTAAAGACAGCTACTGCACAGCCTAAACCTCGTAAGTTATGTGAGGTTACTCGCGAGTCGCGTACCTGCTAGTTATAAGTATACGCTATTAAAGAGATTCATGAATACGTTCATACTATTCGTTATAGTCTATTATTATCTGTACTCACTTAGACGCTAGCAAGGGTGTACTACACACACTCACGCGTAACCACACATACGATCACGGGTAGCTAATAGGCATCCCTATACTGGTGCCGATGACCAGCGCGTAATTTTGCTAAGCGTCTTTTTAATGTGAGAGAAATGTTGTGCTTTTGTAGTTGATGTGCAGTATTACCATGTGGCTAACAAATGTGTTCTTTTTACACCGAGTGCTATACGTGGTATTATTAAACTTGCTTCGTGTTGTTTTTATCTTTAGTAAACGGTAGGTGCCAGTCTAACCAATAGGTGGAATAACTATAAGAGCCAGCGGAGCGGCCACTAGCTCCCTTTAATTTACCCAGGTACACTTGTCTTATCATCTTAACATTGATGTATATGAGTGTATAGCTACTGATAGATGATGATGGGAAAAGTCTGGTTCAGAGTCTAGCAGTAATGCATAGAATTATGAGAAAGATATATCAAAGATCCGAGCATATATGAAGAAAAAAATCAATTAATACGACGCCATATTCCCGCTTCTATCAAAGACCGTATATAATGCGTCTAGACGGTATACGATATATGCTATTATATACGTTCTTTGCTTCTATTTCACCGTCTAGATGTCGCACCGATTACCACAGAGTTTTCAACGTCGTGCGCGTCCGCCAATGCGTAACCATGGTTACCACAGCATCTTCATGCGGTTGCGATTGTAGATGAAGGCCTCTGACTCATCGTCTAGTCCATAGACCTCATCCGGGTGTACCTTTGCTCTGTCGGCTCGCATCTTCGCAGCCTGCCAATAAAAATAGCATTTGAGGTTTGTGCCCGTGATTACATCGATCCAGAGAAAGAAGTAAGCGCCTGCAGAGTTTGCAAGGCCAATTGCAAGTAATCCTCGATGGCTCTTAGCCGGCAAATAGGGTTCAATATTTCGAGCGAAAGAAACTGTATTGGAATAAATGTTTTTGTTCTATAACAGCATCGGCACAGCAATGACAGAAGGCTAATATACACTCCGCTCATCGACATTGTATGAAAATGTCAACAGCAAGATTGCGTCCATTTGCTTGCAACACCCCCAGCATCTCGTCCCTATATTCCTTCCCCACTGCAACTTCTAAGACATGGACTGGACGCACGAGGAACTACATCGGTACACGCACTACACGTATGCTATAGATCTCGCTAACACAAAACTATCAACGAATTATAGATCTCATACTTCTGAGATCCACGGTACATATAATATACACAACTGTGAAAGACATTTGACAACGGTTACAAACATGCCATAGTACTGGTCAAGCCAACAACCAACACGCCCCATACACAATCTAACACGCGTATGAAAACGTGTACATGAATACCGTAAATCCACGGCCTAGAAAAAGTACATGCTTTGCTGGTTCTGAAAAACGCAGACGAACAGACCCAAGACCACGAGTTGACGTGAGGGTATAGACTAGACTCTAGCACTAGCAATGTTAGGTATACTGCCTGCAGTACTAAGAGGTGAGGGGGTACAGGGGGTAAAAACAACAGCCATGCTCGGGGAGATGTGTACATCATACACTAGTACCCTTTCACCACAAGTGTTTCATTTTGCTTCCTGGCGCGACGGCCCACACGTCATCGTTCATGTCAAACTCATCCTCGTAAATCTTGTTCATGTTTCTTGCCTGTTAGAATCAAAGCGTTTTTGAACCTGTATATTTGCATGCAAAGCGCACACACGGGCAAGATGCGGAAGATCGAGCATTTCGCAGTGTCGGCCTAGTTTATCTGTTCAAATACTATATTATTATACACAATCAAGAGCCAAGAGCTAATAATATTTTATAATCTATTAATATAAATAGTATAATATATTAATAAAATATATATAATAATAATATATAATAATAATAATAATAATAATAATAA